CAGTTTGTACATCGCCAGTCACAGCCGACCTGTTGATGCGAGCGCACGCACCAGGCTGTGGGTGGCCCAGGGTCCGACGACGACCGGCGCGCTTAATTACGAATGTCAGTCATGGCTTTCACCCTGGCTGGTGCTGGGCGGGACTGGCGCAACTGCCCGCATCACCGATGAGACCGGTGGTGAGCACGAAGGCAGGATCCAACTGCGCCGGTGGTAAAGTCGGAGGGAGTCAAGACTCGGCTCGGTGATTCACCGAGATGATCCCTTGACCCATGTGTGATGTGTTGGGCTATTTTTACTAGGTTTCACATTGTGCCTTTTATGCCCGTTTTTATCAATGATGACGTGTAGCTTCTAAAAAGCCCCTGGATCTTGTGGAAAGTTACGAAATATATGGACATGGGAGCTTCCGCTTCAGGAAGCGCCGAAGCCGGCTTTGTGAAATGATTCATTTGATTTGCATTACTAATTTGTACTGTTTCCCGGTAGCTGTGAGCGTGTTGCTAGACAGACACGCACCAGCGGCCAACTCTGGCCGAACCCCTCCCCATCCCCATCCGGCCCTGCCCCGTCCAAGACGGGAACAGGTGGTCGGAATCTGCCGCTGTCAGTGGCAGCCCGTGACGTCACTCGGCTGCCGTGCGCGGAGTCGGACACCAAAAAACATCGGAGAGAATCCGACAAACAGACAAACAAAAAAACAACCGAGCGGCGACCGAAAAACACGGCGGGAACTAATGTGGCTAGTCCGCCACCGGAAAACAAGGCACCAGCAAGCGGCCAGTGGGAAAGGTGCTGGCTGACGTCACGGCTGGCTGTGAGACAAATCAGCGAAATTAATGGTCTTAGATCTTCATTCAACGTTGCGAATAATTCAGGGTGGAGTTAAGCACACTAAATCAACCATTCTGCGGGGCCAATGGCTTCGGCATTCCGAAGAGACTATTTCCAGCGCTTGTAGCCGCACAAACGGGGAGCGAGCCGTCTGATTTACTATTCATAGACTTTTAGCATTAACCATACGTCGGCCCGAGGAAAGATTGACTTCGCTTTTCGGGATGTTCCTACTCTTTAGAGCATAAGAACTCCTTTCAGAATGTCAGACGTTTCCGCCCAGCGTCGTCCATAAATGAATGCTTCTCATACCGTTCAGCACTTCATGCCACACGCGCCGACGTCACGTAGGATTGCGTAGGATTGCTGTCAGCGTAGGATTGCCGTGAGGAGTAGGTCGCCCACCTGGACCGCCCACTAGCTGCGACCCTGCCGTCCCCACTCAACAGACCGCACCGGCAACATGTGCATGGCGCCAGGCGGTTCGTCTGCAGCAGCGTGAGCAGATGTTGTACACGGAGTTGTAAGCCAGGTCCGGCCACCGGGAGACGGTTTCAGCGACTTCCACGGCGGCTTCCATACCGGGGAGGGGAACGCATAGACGCGGCACACAGTGGTACTTCACCTCCTCAAAAATGTCCCAACAACCGAGTGTAGGGTTTCAAAAACGTTATATATTTAGTGCTAGGGCAGCCGGGCATTATTTGATGCTATTATTTGATGCTGCATTGTTGCTAAGACCCAGTGGAGAAAGTTAAATGGAACGAATTTAGTAATAGTGCGACGCGATTGCTCCCGATGACGTCATTTTGACCCCACTGGGTTCTGGATGGATTCGATAGCATGTATGGATGTTAGGGCGAGCATATGTCAGCAAACATCCACGCAAACGTACGCAAAAGTGGTATTTACGATGATAATGAAGCATAGTCGCTAAATTTTGACTGCAACACTGCTGTTGGTCGCAAGACCGTTGCAATAGTCGCAACCTTACTCGTGTTTTTTTTTTTTGTCAATGAGTTGTCGCTGAGTCATGAAATATGGAAATGGGATCACCCATCCCTTGGTTATGCCCCAACTGACCAAGCCCACATTCGTGTCCAGATAATTTGGAAGTGTTCAGCTTGTGCGAGACACATGTCACTTTTAAATGTGTGCCACGCGGTGTCATCATGATAAGAATCTTAATAAGTGCAGCGCGTATTCTTTAAAAGGAAGTAATAACAAGGCAGTACTGTTAAGTTAATTACTCATAGAATAACCAGGAGAAAAGGGCGATGACGCATTGATATTTCTGCTACATGCCTTAATCGGAGCAATTTTTAAAAATATATAGCCTTCTGAAAGCGACTTAACAATGCCGTTACGATAAAGGCATGTAGCCGAAATATCAATTATCTCCTCTCTCCTGGTTATTCTACGCGGAATATAGCTCACAGTGTGGTCTTATCTACATGCATAATGCTCCTCGCAAATGCAATTAACAACTGACGTGAAATGATAGAAACACTACAGCCATGCTAAGTTGGATGACAATCATGGCTCACGGGCAACCAGAGACTGACAATGGAAGTTCGCAGAGAAGACTGCAAGTCCGCAGCGAGAAGACAGCATCTGGGGCCACGCAGCGGATATGAGCCTCCTTTCCAACACAAGCCCTCAGCAGCCACAAACACAGGTGACCGCAAACTTCCGTGACAGCACCCTAAAAACAAGAACAGAAGGCACGTGTCGTGACACCTAAAATAGCAGCGGTGTCTAACCAAACTTGAACTGATCTACTCCGTCTTACGTTTTGTTTACATCAACTTCGGTTAAGGTTATACAAGTTGGGTAGCACCGAACCAAGCCAAAAACACGGACTGTGCTGGAAAAAACTTAGTCAGTGCTTCTATTACCGTGAGAAGCAGTGCTTCTATTAGTAAATAGTGTTTCTATTAGATAAACGGTGGTTCTATCACCGTGAAATATTAGGGTTAATGCAAGACCCTAATGTGGCTGATTAGTGCACCACTCATAACAGATACCCCTACTATGTTGCAACACTGAGCACATGGTCTTAGCTGTCAGGTGTCTATCTATAAATGTTACGCAAGCATCTTCAACTGACAGTTAAGTGTTTTGGTTGTAGTGGTGGTATCAGGGAAAGCTGAGTGCTTGACAGGTCTGTGCTGTGTGACTTTCAACTGTTTTTTTTTTATTGCAAAATGAGGATCTTCCAGATGAAAGTTTCAGCTGTCAGGCACCAACTTCTACGCTGCACACAATGGTCTTCAGCTAGCACTCAAGATATGTTAGTTGCAGTGGAGATATCAATGCATGCTGATTGTTTTACTTGCCTGTAGTGTGTGACCGTGTGTGGTGTGCGAGCAGAAATACGGGGGTTATCCTGTGCGGCAGTTTTATATGCTAGACGCTTACTTCTAAACCGTACGCCAATGGTCCATGCTAGCATTTGAGGTAGCTATGACTTGTAAATAATCAGCGAAAAGGAGTATTAAAGGTGCAGCATTTTTCAAAAACAAAAACAAAGCAATGAGAGCCAGGAACCAAGCCTATGGTGTACTAAAGCAACAGAGGGAACCAGGATCCAGAAATTGGTTTCTTTGAAGGGACTAGTGAGAAAAAGGGGCTGCGGTTTTTTTTTTGTTTAAATTACCACTGAGAACCAAGATCCATGGTCTTGTTTGTCAAAGGATCCAGCAGGAGCTAGGATCCAAGGTTTTGCTTAGCCGAAGGACTGAGTGAGAGCCAGGAACCAAAGCTGGGAACCCGTGCGCACGTATGGTACGCACATACATTACGCAGGGGTGCGGCTTTTTATCTCGTGGGTGCCTTGGCACCAGGGAGTCGTTTCCTATGAATTCAGGGGTCCTCCCCCGTAAATTTGAGAAGGAAGTTGGCAAGTCCATGGGAAACCCCGTTTGTTGAAGTGTTTTGGGGTAGGCTTCGTCACTTTGGGTTTCTCAGCCTCTCTTCTCATTTTTGCAAAGCTGCATTCGCCTGGCACTCGCGTTTGTAAGTTTGTTTGAAAAGCTTTAAAAAAATTAAAAAGTTTTAAGAAAAGTTTGCTAAGTTTGAAAAGAAATCGACAGCGCCAATCATGCTCTCACAATATAAAATGTGAGACATCAAATGTGAGCTAAAATGTGAGCTGTTCGGCAGCTACGCACCAATGTTCTCTAACGGGAAGCAAAAGTGCGTGCGTGGTACCTAAACGTTTTTTGGAACAGCAGTAATGACCTTATTCCTCGAAGAAAAACCAGGAGAAAGACTTATAGACGCGTTGATATTGCTTCAACATGTTTTTAACAAAACGAACAGCAGAAGTAAATTCTTTAGAAACATTCCTATTCGTTATATTCAATAAAGGCATGTTGCCGAAATATTAGCGCATCTATGGTTCCATTCTCCTGGTTTTTCTACGAGAAATAAGGCTATTACTCCTGTCTTGTTTATGTGCACAATTTTCGTCGCAAATGCACTTAACCTGCGCAAGTTTGTTATCAAGATACATAGTAAATGTTATAATGCATGTATTACACACGCACACAAACACATGCATACACAAACACATGCATGCATATATACATATATACATATATATATATATATATATATATATATATATATATGTATATATATATATATATATATGTACCATATATATTATCATATTCATGTCAATACATTATGTGTAATTATTGTAAGACATGATTCAAACTAAGTAGCATAGCAATATAAAATTGGCATAGTATGAATAATAATGATGCCTATAGCATGCAAATAATGCAGCGTAAATCCTAGCCATATTTGTCATTACTTCTGACTATGAAATATGAATGCAGGCACCAAGGGTGTGCCTAGCCATACTGTTTAACATTATTCATAACCATATTCAACACAGAACTACTGTAGAAGTCAGAGACCTTCACAGGTGGAAACCTATCGAGCTATGAACAAGTCAAATGGCTGGACTGGCCACGCAAACATTCGGTTCTCTGGGCCAAAGGACAAGCATGGGTTTTAAAAATGCGTTTGCATCTGGGCACCCATCACATTTTTTTAAGAAAGTTGTACGTGTCACATCAAACATAAATCAGCTGAGTTGTCCACCAGAACTTGCCAACCCGGCCCATGACTCCCTCGCACGCCCCTGCCGTTACCTGCGGGTGTTCCAGAGCGCCGGATTCGCAAGCGTCACGCCCCCATCGGCCACTGGCACCGCCGGCGGCGCGCCACTGGTGCGGACACGGATGGATCTCCGTAGCGGAGGAGCCCACAGGTGAAAATAACTCACCGCTGGCCATGTGCCAAGACGGCGGGGGCGGCAAGTACAAAGGGCTGGAAGGGTTGGAAAGGGGCGGGCACCCGTTGGCCGGGCGGAAACCACCGATCAAAGGTCAGATGAGTCTGACCTCCATGGTCTTTTCTGCCATGTTAAGCGGGAAAAATCTCCCCACACTCTGCCAAAGTTTCTCCCGTTCTAAGCCCGTCACCATGCGAGATTGGTCATGTGTAACGTGTTATGATTAAAAATTATTAGTTCGCGCTGTGCTTAGTTTTTGTGCCGATAATGCCTAGCTCAATCCAGCCAAAGGAAATCATTATGATGTCAAAGGATGTTAGAAGGATGCAGTTCACACACTTATAGGTCTATAAATCGGTCGGAGCCATTACTACCAAAGTCTTTTAAGAAGATCAAACTGACTTGAACTGATTTAGCTGACTTAAACTGACCTTAACGCATCGCGGCGTACGTTAGCTCGACGTTTTTTCGCTCTTGTTCTGATCTGAACACAACACGAAAATGGCGTACATCTGAGTAAAAGTGGCAGTTCGGGCGAGGACATTTGAAACCATATTTCAGGCCCGTCATATCGTAGTTATATCCCTCTCCCACTCAAATTCCTTCAGAAAGCCCCCGGTGTCACTTGACCATCGCTTGGTGCCAAACTCCAGCCGATGTGGGGTCGGCGTGCCAGACAGATGCGGTCCGACTTGGAAATCGATTCCGATGCAGCTTTACACTGGACAAATTTTGCGCTTGACTTACTCATTTTTCATGTCATCTTTATTTCATTTCATAATTTGCATTACTTTATTATCTAGTCATTTATTACACTTCATGTTGCTTCAGATTATTTTAGTCCAAGTCTTCCGCGACCTTGAGCTGTTTCAATTCACGCACTGGACTCTATCATTTCTGTCTATGCTCTGGAGGTCATGTTGGCGGAGTTGTTAAATAGTGTAACAGTTTTGACGAGCGTCCGTGTTCGAGAGGCCATTATGACGGCTGCATTGGCAGCACGCTCTCAGCAGAGCTAATGCTGGTCACAAGCCATTCTGCCGCACGGACGCGCCTGTTCGAGTTGCATCATGTACCGGCTACTCGATACAACCAGATATTACCAGATCTGTGAGGTGACGTACGTTTGAAATACGGTTTAAGATGCGAGATTCTCGTCTTTGGGTCACGGAGATTGGTGTTTGGAATGTAATTTACATGCGTAATAGTCACAGCTGCTTTCAGCATACTCAATGACATAACATCGGCAGGGGTCAGGAGGCACTGAACCCATCTACAGGTCCCTCACCAAAGCTTGCGTATTGTGCTCGGCGCAAGGCTGGAGGATGCAGATTTACAAGGGTGGCAGCGGTTACCCATCTACTCAGTTAAAGCGTTTGCTCAGTTATTCGATTACTTGGCTAAATCGGTTGCCCCAATTTTCCTGGAAATGATCGCCATTGCAACATGTTACACACAAGCAAGATGGCGACTTTGCAATTCAAGCCTATCTCAACCTATTTGCCTAGTTCTCATGCAGTCAGTTCGGTCTGCTTTGGGCCTCATATTTGGCACAAAATCTTAAAGCATCGGAGCGGGCACCGATGCTTGTTGTCAATGGCGGGGCTTTGTAATTCTTCGGAGGGGCCATCTTCCCATTCCCCCAACGTTCGTCTCGACCACACATGTGACTGGTTTTCATTGCTGGCTCCTGGTTCTCAATCCCCCTCAAGTAAACGAGGCCCTGGAGCCCAGCTCAGCTCCAAACCGGTTCCTCCATACACATCAGCGTCTAGTTTGTGGGTCCCATTGGTTGCTTCGCAAATTTCAAAACCTGGCTCCTGACTCCCATTTGTTTTTGTTTTTTGCAAGCACAGTATATACTCCCGGTCCCCAATATTTCCTTCACAAATGCCAACGCCTGGTTTCTGCCGCTCATTTATTTACCACAAATACCAGGCTCTGGTTGTTGGTTCCCATTGGTCCATTTAAAAAGACCGGAGCCTTCTGGTTCCTGTTTGTCACTGGCTCTTTACCAACATCGGGTCATGGCTGTTGGCTCCTGTCGTTTCACTCCGAAATACCCGATACTGTTCTTGCTTTTCTTTGGCTCATTCGTAAACACCAGCTCCGCTTCTTTTTTTGGAATATTCTACCATTAAAGGCATGTCGTTCTCCATGGAATATGTTTTGATGATATCAGTGCTATCTACAGGTAATTATATCTACACACACACACACACACACATATATATATATATATATATATATATATGCTATGCTCTGAAGCATAAAGCTGGTACTTAGTTATTATATATATATATATATATATATATATATATATATGTATATATATCATAACTAAGCGCCTAACTCACAAGCATACCCAAGCCTTTTAAGGTCCAGCGCACTCCATGCGCAGTATGCATAAGCATAAAATACATTCAGAAATACACCACACCTTCAAACCAATGCGACGGGCAGGGTCCTTAAATACAGCATGTGATTTCGGTAGCTTTACTACGTTTAACCCTATGTTGAGCACCTGTCTAGAATCAGCTGAAAGACCTCCGAATGGCTTATTCTGAATTACAAGTGGGCTGAACTTTTATGAATGTTGCCACATTTGTACTGTAAGTCTGTCTACCATGAACTGGTGCGTCGCAAAGCACTAGCTAACTGCAATAAGACGCCGCAATACCCAGGTTAGTTTCAAGATAATAGAAATCCTGCTAGAGTTTCGCCTGTCAGGATTTTCTAAAGTTTTGACATTGTTGCAACCAAGAGTTTTCTTTTTTAAAAAGCCTGCATTTTCCGTCTGGTAATGATGCGCTGATTGGAGGAGCCGGGAGCGGTTAAGACTCTTCTTTTTGGAAAACAAGACAACATTGGCTCGACCAAGATAGAGCCAATGTTGACTGGGGCTGGCCGAAAGAAAAGATTCTAGCCCTGCAAGCTAGGAGAACTTTCAGTTCTCCTGCTATCTGGTGTCACAAAAAGTGAACAGTCCCCGTGGAATCCGTCTATTTTACGCTCATGTCTTTCTCGATTGTCAAAATTTCCAAGCACCTATGAAATGATGCCCTTCTTTCTGATATCAAGTCAAGATGTGTCCATGTCCGTGTTTTTTTGGACGCGATCGCCTGACTGCGTCATAAACAAAGGCCGAATAAGAGATGAGATATAGGTCAACTATAGGGTGGTACAACCAATGTGCATCGGGCCGGCTGATCACTGGTCTTCCACTCACTGTATACGAAGCTACAGCCTCGGAGAAAATGTAACCAAACCGCCAGGCCACCAGATCAGCTGCCGAAGCTGCAGCGGTGGCAAGCTGATTTACTTCGCTCAGCATCATACTTTGTCTGTATTACTAAATCATAGTGATGCGGGAATTCCCATGCTGTTAAAATGAGGCTCTCTTTTAACCGGTCACCAAAATGAGCTGAAAATAACCAAAATAGACACTTACCGCCAAATTGAATGAATCATAGCCAAAATAAGCATTTGAAAACTGATTGGATTGTTGCCACCAATATGGACCTTTTCCCCACCATTTTAACAAGGTTGATTGTAATGCCTACTTAAGTCACCATACACACAAAGCAGATATCCAGAAATAACTTAATGCACCAGAATGGCTGAGGTTCTATCAGATAGGTAAAACAAATCAACAAAAGATAGTAGGAAATAGGCGAGCTGCGTCAGAATCTAGGATGTTCAGCCCATCAGCAAAAACGACGATATTCTAAACCAAACTGGCATCAACTTGCCAATGTATTGGGACCCTGAGAGCGAGTCGCTGACTTGCACCGAATTCCGCACATGCCTACCTGTCCAGGGGCGCAGCCAGGGTGGGAGGGGGGGGGGAGAGGAAGGGGACATGTCCCCGGCTAGGCTCTGAGTGGCGTTCTGGGCCCTCGGACAGACTATTAAGGGCCCGACTGGAGGGCCCAAGGTACTGGCGGGGGTATTTTGTTGCCTATAATTATATCTAGAGTCATAGTTTCCAGGTTGGTTACCCGAGAAATGTCAGGTGGCCGAAGGTCATCCAAGGTAACGTGTGCTGTTGGTTCACCTTGACGCTACCCAGTGTTTCTGTTGGTTCACGTTGACGTTACCCAGTGTTTCTTTTGGTTCACCTTGACGCTACCCAGTGTTTCTGCTGGTTCACCCTGACGCTACCCAGTGTTTCTGTTGGTTCACCTTGACGCCACCCGGTGTTTCTGTTACCTTGGGCAAAGCTTTTATATAGCGGAAAAGATCAGGCAAGCTGGGTCCGTTGCCAACATTATTGTATGCATTTTTGTGCATGCTTTCTGGTCTTATTGCTACGATGTGGTCATGGAAGTTGTGGTCACCTGTGTCCGGAGTTGCTGAAGGGATTGTCGGGATGGAAAAAAGTCAAAGTCAAAGGTCAGAAACAGGGCTTGTTGGCAGCCCACTGTGTGGCAAAGAAGCTATGATTTCGTTCCATCTGAGGTTACTGTGACATAATATCAGTTTTTCACGTGCGTAGGCATTCCGCCGACCGGCTTTGGAGGAAAGCTCATTTTGCAGGTGCCAAAAGTGGATGTTGCAAACTTTTAATCATAGAGACAACATCGCATGCATTCCGGAAATGGCCAAATTCACATGAAGGTATCCCCCCATCTTCCTATCTGCAAGTTATGGCATATATTGGTGAGATTTTACTGTAGCAGACGTAGGGCAAAACAGACTGAGATTTGGGATAGCTTCCCGAGATGGTAGATGTACCTATTTTCCGTTTATTTGTCACCTGCAAGTGTTCAACAAGGGTGCAGTTTCATATACTGTTGGGTGTTTACAACCAGCCGAACTTCAAGAAGGAAGTGCACCAAATTCGAGGAAGCACACAGTTGTAAATATCTTGACGGCAAGTTTAGCTATTTTCCTTGTCCAGACTCCCAACTTATTTTGCAACACTGCCCGT